ATCGAAATCAAATGATTTTTGAACCCGCTCCGAAGTCCCGATCTGAATCAAATGATTCGCGAATTCGCTCTGAAGTCCCGATCTGAATCAAATGATTATTGAACCCGCTCCGAAGTCCCAATCCGAATCAAATGATACGCGAACCCGCTCTGAAGTCCCAATCTGAATCAAATGTTTCATTTAAAGGCACAATAATGTATGGTCCAAAAACCACTAGAACAGTGTTATATATTTTGCTGACTTGTGTACTTACATTATCCCAAATGTTTCGAAGAATGTTTAAATCCAGAGAAATAAGCAATTTTAAGTAGAGACACGGACCGTGTCCATATGTGTCATTGTGTCGCCTGCTAATGACGTCATAACCCCTCGATTTCCGGTTTTGTTTTGTAGAAAACATGGAAACACCAAAGACACTTTAATATGTTGTGTGTTTTAATAGACCGGTGACGACCGCACAGAGTAGCATTATAACAGAACTTTCAAATGTATCTAGTATGATAAAACAGCGCTGCTTTACCCGACATACGCACGACCGGAAGGAGCGGAAGCGGTCGACTGTGGCATAATAAAAGCTACGCTGCTTTCGAGCCGTGTGTCACGCTCGTTCAGCGGCCTCGTTTCGCTTCGACGGCTTTCAGCCTCACCCTGCTTCATTCTACTATGTTAATAAATCTTTAATACATTAGCTCGTCCATGAACACGATTTCAGTCCCGTCGGTTTGCTTTGGGATGAAGACGACAACTCCCATGATTCCACACCCAGTCACGGCGTCATCTAACTACGCCTTTGTTTCTTTGTTTGTTTTGAATACGCACGCTCTAGCGGCAAAAAATTACATATTGTGCCTTTAATATGTTAAGCAAACTATGGTATCTTTGTTTGTGAAAGTACAATCATCCTACTAAATGTTGTACAAAATGTTAAGACCTCAACAAAAAAACACACAAACATAAAAACTGTGACAATCAACAAGGGCAAAAAGATGAGTTCTTAGCATCACAACACAACAAATAACTAATAATAAATATATGTTGTAAACAGTGAAGCTCAATTAAATATATTTTTGAAACATATTTAATTAAATATATTTCGTTTAAACCTTCATAAACCAAAATATATTTCAGAATGTATTTCAGGAGCGAGAAAATACATTTCCAGTCTTACAGTAGACTGCTTTTAGGCTAAATGCAAATGTGGATGGAATAGCCTATAGAGATCAAAACTAGATTCATAATGATTTAACAATGTTTAATTTGTAATATATTGTAATATTGTATTGTTTTTTGGGGGGAATATTGTTAAGTATTTTCAAATAAAGTTGTTTTTTACTGTATGTGAATGTATTATCTTGGATTTAAATATATAGGTCAAAATATATTTTTAAATGTTTTAAAATATATTTATATATTTTCAAAAATATATATTTATTATTTTTATTTATTTATTTTTTTTGGCTGGATGGGAGCATTTGTGACTCATAAGTTTTTGTAAACTGTAAAGTATGTATTTGCTTTGTTTCAGCGCAGAAGAAAGTCAGTCATACAGGTTTGTAACAACATGTAGGTGAGTAGTTATTTTTGGGTGAACTATTCCTTCAACACCTTCCACGTAAATCTAGGGCTGGGCAAAAAAATTGATTTTTTGATTAATCGTTTTTTTTAAATGACGTCGATTCGATACCGATTCTCAAAAGCCAAAACTACCGTCATATCACATACACAGCAGCTGCAAGTTCTTCACGGCAACCCGTCAAAATAAAAGTTTAGTTTAACATTAAGAAACTGTCAGAATATATTACTATTTAGCAGTCTTAAGAATCAATGCTACTACTGCTAATAAATATTAATAAATCTTTATTTTTAAAGGAATAATCACATCTGTTTTCTTTTTAATTTTAACAGTAAACCTCTGTTGTGCAGCACTTTGTTTGCCAAAAAATAAAAGGGTTTACTTTTAATTTGATTAGGATAAATTAAATTAATGTTTTATGCCTTCATCTGATTACCAGAAAAATTAAGAACATTTTATAGGGCCCTATTATTGTTTAAAAAAGGACCCATACAAAAAAAAGTATAGGTTTAAAATACAGGCATGTGGCTTAATTTCTTTTTATTAATTCACCATTTGTAAACTGATGTTCACTGTTAATTTTCTAGAAATATCAATAGCATTTGTATTAAAACTATATTCACTGAATATAAAAAAAAAAATCGAGAATCGAATCGAGAGCTTGCGAATCGAAATCGAATCGGGACATCTGAATCGATACCCAGCCCTACGCAAATCTAATCTAAAAGTTCGATTCTAGAAGAATATTAACCTGCTTTAACTTTATCTGCCTTCTATGGCGTTTTCCCTCCACAGTTGACCCCTTCAGTGATTTAAGGTTGTAATTTAAGTCCTGTGAAGTCATTAGTCCATCTGAGTGCTTGTCATTATGGACTCTCTGGCTCCAGTCCAGGCCCCGAGGGCTGCTGTCACGGACATCATCAGGACTTCCTCTTCTTGAGCAGCAGGGCCCCTTGCCAACACTACAGCCACAACAGGGGGGTTAAACCAACTAAAGACTACTCAGCTTGTCAGTTTTGAGCTTATAGAATCCTTCGGCTTGACATTACGCAACCCTGCAATCATTAGAAATCTTCAAACTGACTCCATAGAATGTATTCTGTGCGCCGCCAAAGCAATCAAGCTAATAAATCAAATCACCTGCTGCAATCACGCACACAATTCACTTCCATTCAAATAATTGCGCATGGACAACACATAGTCCTGTGTAGGCATAAAAACGAGGCAGAGCAGTCTTTCTGCAGATAATAAAAAATAGCAGCTCACATTTGTCTCACCAAACTGCCAGGCGCGATGCTGCGCCTCCTCGCCGTAATTTATGCAGGGCTGAAAGCCGTTCCAGCGCGGATCAGGCCTTCTGCTGGTTTCACTCATCCTGGTGCCCAGACCTGCTCTCTTGTTCTTCCAAACAACTGTGACTGTTTTAATTCTGCTCACTGATTAGCCCGAATCAATTAAAATCGCCATGCTGGGCCCAACAGCAGCACAGCATGGGGCACTTAGAAACACATTCATCAGCCCCGGCCTCTTAATCATGCTTTAATTACAGCACGGCTCTAGAGAGATGAAGGGCTACATTAGTGCAGCGCTGCTTGTTCCCGCTAGGCCAATGGTAAAGTTGCCTCACTTGAGCAAAATAGTTCATTTCTAATGGCTGTAATTGGCGAATTGTAATTTTTCAGCCAGGTAATAAAGTTTGAAGTAGGCGCCATTAGACGAAACAACCTGGCATTTTCACAAAACGCTACTTCGGATGTTGAACTAATTTCAGATACACGTACACGGATTTTGCTAAACACAATCAACCTTGTTTGACTAAACATGAGAAACTCAGGATCGCTTTCAGAACATGAATACAACACACTTTGTTTTCTTTGGATCTAAAGCTAGACACTTATGTAGGGTATCAGCGAGGATAACGTTATTTGAAGGCAAATCGATAATGATTGTGGTTTGTCAATTAAAGCTGCTTTTACTCTAATCCCCCCCTCACTGTGGAAAGACTCCGGCATAAAGGGGAAAAAAGTGAATCGCTTTAATGCCATCTAATGACGTTACCTCCAAAACAGCACCATACTGCTGGGAACACGCTAATCCATGCCTGCTCCTTTGCTAGTGGTGGTTTTCAAACTAGCCGCCACTCCTCCCACTCCTAAACCTCTCCTGGAGAGCCAACACAACAGACACCTGCAGGAGCCGCCGTCATCCCAGGTTCCCAAAACAACTCGCTCATTACGAGCGGCAGGACCGGAGCTCACTGTATTATCAGCAGTGATTAGCGCAGCACTCACGATCGCTTCCTAGCCTTCAGCTCTGCAGCGAGGGGGCATACTGGCGTTTGCGTGGCCTTTCATCTGGTCATCGCTTTCATGGCATGGGGTGTGATATGAAAACATGCCTGCCCTGAAAGATTAGTTAAAGGTGCAATTCATATGTATTGTTAAACGGATGTATCGTCCTCATTTTAACACGTAAATAAATTAACGGTACTTTTTACAACTATTTGAAAATAACGTACATATGAGATCAACAATTCAGTCTTTGTAGCATAATAAAAACTTTATTTAATATGGATCGGGTTGCCTCCAGTGCTATCATAAAATACTTTTATAGTTTTTATTCATATTTTGAATAAATTTTTATTTTAATATTTTTCATTTAAATTTTAGCTAAAGTTTTAGTGGTTTTGTTGTGTTTTTCATTTTTGGTAGTTTCAGTTTTATACATACACATATATATTTATTTTTATTTTTTTTACTTGAGTTTTAGTTAAACAAAATTAAAATGAGAAATGTTGCCCAGGCAACTAGCTGAAATTAAATATTTTTCATACTTTATTTCAGTTGACATTTATTTTATTTTAAACAATGAAATGGTTTTAAATTTAGTTTTAATTTTAGTTTTAGTTAACTGTAATAACCTCATGACAGCATTGTTATTGTTAATTAAAACTAAAACTGCTAAAACTAATTTCAGGAACTAAAATAAGGTTGAAATAAAACAAAATTAAGTTTTATAAACAATAAAAAACTGTTTAAAATATAAACAATATTTAGAAATGTTGCCTGCGCAACTAAATGAAATAAAGTAAGCTGAAGTACTAAAACATTACTAAAATAGTTTTGCTATTGTTAATTAACACTAGGGTTGCAAAAACGGGTTAGAAAATCTCCAGTAAATTTCGGAAACATTCCAGGATTTTTTGGAATCTTCCAGGGATTTTTGGAAAGTTTCCGGAAATTTTCCACCCCTTTGCAAACCTAATTAACACTAAAACTGCTCAAATAATATCAGGAATTGAAATATTAAAAATGATTGATTTAAAAAATAAAAATAAATAAAAATTAGAAATGTTGCCTGGGCAACTAACTGAAACAATGTAAGCTGAAGTACTAAATATTACTAAAATAGTACTAAAAAAAAAAGGCAAAAGCACATTAAATTAAAATGACAGAAACAAGCTAAAATTAAAAATAAAAATGAAAAATATAAAACTAAAATCTAGTTCAAAAATGGATAAATACTCTTTTACTATAAATAATACTAAAATAACCCTTTCTCATGCTGAGATCACTTGACCAGACAAATACTACTCACTTAATCTTTCTATTCTACACTATTGCTGCATAAATTAATCATGGCTGACTGCTAATAGCTCATTACTTTTTTTATTTAAAATTTTTTCGAATTTTCAAAATGTCTAATTACCCAGAGAAACGGGTCAGGTTTTGACCGTCCAATCCGATCTCATTCATGCATCCTATTGCCACGGGCCTCTTTAGCTCTCAACCATTCAGGACCTGAAAAGAAGACAGATTAAAGCTTTCCTTTAGTTGTCCCTACATAAGCCTGTCTTCCTCTGAAAGCCCCAGGGCTTTGATGACTCACTTTTGTGACAGGTGGAACGGACATAAAGGATTCAGGAAATGAAGATATTTAAGAAGATATTCTTAGATTTGTCTTCCTTTTTTGCATCAAAATCTGAAACAGATTGGGAGTTAATTGGTCACATGAATTTATGCCTGAGAAAATATTTACTTCAATTCATATGTTGGCAGTTCACTTTGTGTGACATTTAGTGTGAGATCTATGCTTCTCCAAATACTTTCAGCGGATTCACACACACAGAACGTCCAATCACAGTCCAAATCCCACCACTTTTGGGAGTTGACTGGAGAGAGTTATTTCAGAGTGTCGGCGGTGGAGGTAGAGCATCCCTGTGTGCCAAGAAAAGCCCTCGCAAGGGAAGAGCGGAGGACAGATGGCCCTTCCATGTGAAAACAGTGTTTGGTGTGCTGCAAGAGAGACTCTGGAGATAGTTTGGACTTTTCAGCAAGTTAAGAGTCAGAGAAAGCAGATGCTTCTGCATATTGTTTCATTCAAATGATTCATTTCATTAGTGGGATTAATGCCCTAAAAGTTATTAGGATTTATTTATTTACTTGATTAGCTCTTCCTGCCCTTCTCTCAGGGTGCGAGGATGCGTTTATCAATCAGAAAATTACACCACTAGTTAGTTGGCTAGCTAGTTGGTTAGTTAGTTAGCTAGCTATTTTTCCCATACCCTTCTGCCAAGGTTACTATGTGTGTTTACAATCAGATCACTAGTTAGTATAGGGAAGTTAGCTAGTTTGCACTGTTTTGATCTTTCTGTCAGGGCCATTATGTTTTATCATGTTTTTATCAGTACACTTATGTATTTATTTAGTTAGTTAGTTAGTTTTTTCCTCTTTCTACGCTTTTGTGAGGGTCCTTATATGTTTATCGAGCATAGACATCATCTAACATTCAGTTATTGAATTATTTTGTTTTGCTGTTTTAATTCTTCTGTCGCTGATTAGTTCATTTTTTTAGCTAGGTAGTTAGTCTTTTCTCTGTCTACCCTTCTGTCAGGGCCCATATGTATTTGATCAGATTAGGTCATTATAAAAGGTTAGTTAAGTTAGCTTTAGAAATCCTTCTGTCAGTGCCATTATGTTGTTACCAGAAATAAACCTCAGTACACTTAAGTCTGGCTCACACTACAGGAGTTTTAAAATCCTAACCGATTATGAAATCTGGTCTCAGCACACACATAAGGAGAATCTTTGCAGATTATCTTCCCTCAAATCTTAAACATGCACATACTACAAAATTTGAAAATCGTGGCGCATCACACAAGATCTTATTACGATTATCACGCCAGAGGGAGCCCTCACGTGATCTCACGCAGCAGATCGTCATTGATATTTCAGTGATGTTTACACATGTTAGCTAGCGTGCTAGTAGCTTTCTGCACTCACCCGGTACATTCAAAACTGAGGCGATTTCACCCCAGCGCTTCTCTTTCTCCTTACGTTTGTGATACGTTTTCGACACATTATACAGACAATCGTGTTACTACAAAACGTCAAGAAGCAGTTTCCTCCGTCTCCACTATCCAACAGAGCCGTACAGCAGCTGTTTTTTTTCGGTCGTGCATTGGCTATTGTGAAAGTACTGACGTAATCACATAGCCATCATCATCTCGATTTAAATCCTAAATATCAAACATGTTTGATATGATCGTGGCGGCCCCGATTTTTGTGCGCCTCACATTACCAGATAATCCATGCCGAACATCGGGACCGATCGAGATGCTCAACAAGATTTTTGCTCTGATTCTCGGGAGGGGAAAATCAGGGCTAAATCGGGCTAAAAATCCTGTAGTGTGAGCCTGGCTTTAGTTAGTTAGTTAGTTGAGTTGTTTTTACGCTTTTGTGAGGTTGGTTATGTGTTTATCATCTCACAGATAGTGACTTAGTTATTTGCTTTTCCTCTGTTTTAATCCTTCTGTCAAGGTCTATGCTTTATTAGTTAGTTTTTATTAGGACTCCTCCCCGAACTTCCCTCTGCCCTGTATCTTGGTCTCTCATTGGCTGTAGGTCATCGCCGATGTAGTTTTCAGTCAGAAATCATTGCACACTGCGTGATTGTGAATCGCCGACAGCTCCAGATATTTAGCATGCCAAATATTTTGTGGGCGTCGGCGACGTGTCGGCGATTCCCTCAGTTCGCGTCTTTGATAATTCACACTGCGTGATTGTCACTCGCGTGAACGAGCACCGATTTGCCTCCGATTTTGGGCATTTGTCGGCGATTTCGCAAAACCTGTCTGCGAGTGAAAAATCGGGCTAAAATCGTGCCGTGTGAACTCGGCATTAGTCTTTTCTCTTTCTGCCAGGGTCCATATGTGTTTACCTAATATCAGATTACTAGTTAATTATATAATTAGCTAGTTAAGTTAGCTGTGCTCTGTTTTAATCCTTCTGTCAGTGCCATTAAGTTGTTATCAGGAATTAACCTCAGTACACTTTAGTTAGTTTTTGTCCTGTTTTTACACTTTTGTGAGGTTGCTTATATGTTTATTGAGCACAGACATCATCTCACTAGTTAGTTATTTAGCTATTTAGTTTTCATCTGTTTTAATCCTTCTGTCAAGGTCTAGTTTTTATACTTAGTTAGCTAGTTAGTCTTTCCTGTTTCTACCCTTCTGCCAGAGTCAGTATGTGTTTGCCTATGATCAGATCACTATTTAGTTACTTACTTAGTTATTTAGTAAGTTAGTTAGCTGTGCTCTTGTCCTCTTGTTTTAATTACACTGAAAAAAATGGTGTAGAATTTACGTTGAAACAATTTTCACTCAGAAACTGCAAGTCAATTTCACAAATAATTACAAAGAAACAGCAAGTATCACACTGAATTAAACATGGAATTATTATTTATTTATTTGTTGTTTTACTTATTTTGTCAATCTGCAATAATCTTCGTTTTATTTTTCCGTTTCTAGACTATCAAGCATAGATATCATCTCACTAGTTAGTTCGTTTTAGTTAGTTTTAAACCTTCTGTCAAAGTCTATATATGTTTTATTAGTTCGATTTTAGAGTTAGTTAGTTGGTTAGTTAGTTTGTCTTTCCTCTGTTTCTACCCATCTGTAAGGATCCTTATGCGTTTAGGGAGCATAAAGTTCAGATCACTTTGATCTGGAGTGGCAGATTATAAAGAATACAACAAATCAGAGACAAAGAGCACAATATCAGAGACAAGCAGGTAATGAATATGGCATTTAGCGCAGAGGAAGTGGGCGTCCCTCATCAAGTGGGCAAACTCTCATTAGAAGCAAATCCTTCACAGATTTCACAAAGCCCCCTTTTGAAGTCTTGGCTCACTCAGATACTGCCATTCAGAGGCTTCAGCTCTAAAGCTCCTCGGAGAGAGCGAGAAACCCCACATTAAACCATTTCGGAGTAAATCTAAATCTGCGACGGGAAAAGAAATGAGTTTAATTTTACACGCTCTTCAAAGTAAAATATTTTGTGTGTGTGTGCTTACAGTTTATTATCACAAAGGGAAACCGAAAACACGTGCATTTCTACAAAATACACAGTCATTAGGCAAAATATTATCATTCAGAGTTAACATGGCTGCTCTGGGCAAGGAGTGTGGAAAGTTGCACGCCGGGTAAAAATACTTTCCTCTCCCCAGCAGAGGTGCCAAGCCCCGAGGCAGAGGGGGCGTGGAGTTTGCTGGAGCTCGCTGGCACCTCGGAAAGCCCAGAGCAAACAATCTGTCGTGACAACAAGATGGTACCTTCATTATCGGCTTCATCGCCCCACACCTTCTCCTCATCAGCAGAGCGGGCTGACAGCTGAGGTGCCAAAGCTAGGCGGGCACTGCTGCACGGCACTCTGGGAAAGAGACCGTTCCTGGTGTGCCTGATGTCCCAGGAGCTGCAGATCACACATACGTATGCAAAAAAAAAAAAAGTTAGCATGCGCATACGCACACACACAAACAGACCAGTAGCTACAGATACTGTTATTCCAAAAACAACAATTAATCCCGTATAACTACCAAGCTTGATACGGAGAGCAAAAACACTAAGGCGTTCATTGGGATTGTAGACTAAACATCATTCCCTTATTTTAAGTGTGGCACTGTAAATTTCATTCCTGCCAATTTGACTTTGTTGATAATTGGCTGGAGATGACAGGTTTGGTTGGTGTTTAGATGGAGCGGCGGAACTGCAGCGACAGTGTTTTGTTACGGCCGGGTAATAACTCCACACTCTGATCTCTGAAAGGTTCCTCACGTCTAAGTGTTCCTCGTTTCCTCAAAGTTAAGAGCGTCAGGGGTGTGAGCTGCGCTCTTCCCCTGGGGCGCTGCAGGTGTGTAAGCCGGACCGACAGCGCTAGCAGATTCCCGACATGAAGGAAGAGGAAAATAAACAAAATACGACGCAAGAATGTCACATTAAAACGCTATGAAAGCCAAAGCTGTCAGGCCTCTTTGAGAAGCGAGGGCCCTGTAAATCCGCATAGTGCTGATTCAGTGACTTCAGACGGAGTGAGAGATGCTTGGGGGAATATGTGTAAATCAGAAAGAATTCCCTAAAGCATGGCATCCGGTGAGAGAGGGCTGGGACTCCTCGACTAATGCGCCCAGCTTGGCACAGCCCATATAACACCTTCAGCACCGACACCTGAACTGGCAGCTGAACTGCGTGAGTAATAAGAGAAGCTCAAAGTGCATTGTGTGAATATTGAGTTTTAAGTAAATATGAATTCGCTCTGATACAAACAGAAGCCTCCTGACAGTCGCTTATGTGCGAGTGCGAGTGTGTGTCGTCACTGCCATAAAAACAGCTTGCGAAAGCAGCACGTGCACAAATGTTAATACACGCTGAGACGCATAAACAGAGCACATCACATTGTGTTTGTCATCCAAGTCACATTCTCACACTGCAAGTTACCCATAAACCTCTGAGATATGTTGATAGGCCTGTCATCATCTTCGCACAATTTTTTTCGCAACTCCATGCAACCTAATTAGAGACCCAAATGTGCCATTGACAAATGCAGAACGTCTCGCAATATTTGAGTACATGAACAATAAATTACCATAAACAATACACTAATAAAACACATTAAATTATGCCATAATCTCAAGCTAATTATGTACAGTCAAAACTAAATAATCACATCAGCCTTTATGAATTCTGAAAAGATAAATACATTTCTTCTATTCCCACTAACAAGGCAGACATGCTACTCACCGAACACAGGCTGTATAAATCAAATGCATTCAAAGGCATGGAAAAAAAAAGACATTTCAAAACGTTAGTGTTTAATAGTTTGTGTAAATCTGACTAGTTAAAAAAAATGCCTAAGATGAGAATTTTTTTATATATATATATATATATATATATATATATATATATAGGAAAGTATTCAGACCCCCTTAAATTTTTCA